AACCCCTAAAATGCAAATTAGCTTATGCTAGTAGTCTAGAACATGGAAGTAAATATTGGGACTCTATCAGATGAAGCCAAACTAAAATTATTTAGTCACATGAACTCCCGTTATACATGGAGGAAAGTGAATGAAGCTCACAAACCTAAAAAATACCTTCCCTACAAGATGTTGGGATCATTCTGCTCTGAGGATGTTTTGATGCTTCTGGACCAGGAGAACTCGTGAGAGTACAGCATATCATGAATGAAGAGCAGTAATTGGCTATTCTTAAAAATAATATTAAACAATGTGCTCGAAATCTGTCTTTGGGGCGTCAGTGGATATTCCAACATGACAATGATCCGAAACACACAGCACGAAGTGTTACAAAATACTTAGATGTCAGAAAAACACCCTGCACAAAGTCCTGACCTAAACCCATTGAAAATTTATAGGCATATTTGAAGAAAAAAATAAGAAGTCTTTTGAATTTGGAGGAGCTACAAGATATTGCCAAGGAAGAATGGAGCAAAATTAGGAAATGGACTAAATCCGACATATTTTTTTAATTTAATTTATTTTGTTTAAACGTTATTTTTATGGATACTCATATTCGAGTAGAAGGTCTGTTTTTAATTAAACTATTTTTAGTCCAACTACATCTACCGGCCTGAATATTCGTGAATTCTTGTTAGAAAAATATGCGTCTTCCGGCAGGATTGGAATGGGGACGCTTCATTTAATCTGTCGTGCCTAACGAATTGGCAACGTAGGACTTCCGGTCAAACAAAGCCCGAATAGTGCCTTTTCAACACAGACACTCTCTGCCGATTCCCGAAAGATCCATATCTGCTCTGTATCATACTCTAAAACGTAAACAAAGACAATTTATCTTTAGGAAATGGATTAAATCCGACATATTTTTCTTCATTTCTATTTTGTTTAAAAGTTATTTTTTTATGGATACTCAAATTCGAGTAGAAGCTTTTTTTTAATCAAACAGTATTTTTTATCCAACTACATCTACCACCTGAATCTTGTCAGAAAAATATGCTGGAGGACCCATATTTTTCTGGCAACATATATATATATATATATATATATATATATATATATATATATATATTTATATATATATATATAATTATTATATATATATATATATATATATATATATATATATATGTGTGTAAATTATTTTATATATATATATTTAAATTATTATATATATATATATATATTATTATATATATATATATATGTAAATTATTTTACATATATATATATATATGTAAATTATTTTATATATATATGTGTAAATTATTTTACATATATATATATATATAAATTATTTTATATATATATATGTGTAAATTATTTTTTATATATATATATATAAATTATTTATATATATATATATATATATATATATATATATATATATATATATATATATATAAATTATTTTATATATATATATGTAAATTATATATATATATATATATATATATATATGTAAATTATTATATGTATATATATATATGTAAATCATATGTGTGTGTGTGTGTGTGTAAATTATTTTCAGATAGCGTAAAAGAACAAAATGAATAAAAAGACAAGCGGAAAACTATTCTTAGCCAACGCGTTTCGTTCTCACGGGGACTTTATCAAACCAAATGTAGGATTTATTTTGTTGCGCGTGTTTATATACAAGAGCAAGGATGTCATTAATTTATCAAGGTTTTTAAATTTGGGAACCTTCATGAATATTCATCAGCTGGTTGAAAGGTCAGTTAAAACATGTGGGGGACACGAAGTGCCATAATTCAAAGTCTGATAAGGCAAAAATAAGCGAGTAATATTCAAGAATTTTTTTTTAATATTATTTAAATTGTGATCAAATTGTTATGATTTGAGATGTGCATATACACACACACACACACACACACACACACACACACACATATATATATACGAATAAGAAAATGTATCAGTTCAACAAATGAGAGTGCCGCTATAACAAATAACATTACAAATAATTACAAAGAAACGCATTATCAGTCACTTTTTTACTCACAGTAGAAGGTTAGTAGTTTTTTGAAGAATGGATTTTTATTTCCTGAGCTTGATTACACCTACTTCTATAGAAAAAAAATATACATCAAATCTATATATACATTCAATCCATTTATTTTGAGAATTTTAAAATTTTCTATAGAATTCCGAATTAAAATGGGCTGCCTCTTACGGTTCCTTTCAAAGTGATAACCCCGGCGTGATTTGAAAATGGAGTTATTACAACACTATGGACAGGAAAATAAACTTTTCACTGTCTTTGACATGAGTTACTTAGAAAATTCTATTTGGATCATTATTCTCGGTCTTATTACGCCATTAGAATGTTAATTCAGGTTCTTTGAGTTTATGGCCTCTCATCAATCAGAATTAAAGCAGAAGACAATTTCCAAAGTATTATCGTCTATTTCTAGCTTTGCTGATTGGTGGTTCAATGTAGATGACGGGTTTTATTCTTTGTACACTAAAGCAAGTATAACGGTTTAGACGTTTAGCGAAGTGATTCAATTGATCAGCAAGACACATTGACTTCTTTTTTTTCTTTACAAATAAATCAATAAATCTATGTTAGTTAAAACACAAAAGGAATCCATAGTCAAAGCATTTGCCACTGTTTAAGATTTAATGTGTGCCGATCTCTTTGGAGAACGCGGCTAATCGAATTAACTATCAATAAAAACAAACAATAGCAGCCAAAACCAAAACGAAAATGAACTCCCAAACATCTTACCTCTCTTATGACATACGCATGCGCACACACGATAGCAGAATTTTGATCGTACATTAAAATCCGTCAAGTTTTCAGATTTCAGCCTAATCACAACGAAAAAAATTTAAGTATTTATCCTTTCGTCTTAGGATTATGGCCAGCGTGTCCTACATCCGAAACCTTTGACCGGGGGCTGGGCCGAGCCTGATTGGGGGCCCCAGGTTGTGCTTTGCGACCCTTGCCATCTCATCAACATTTGCTTTTTTTCTACCTATATTTATATGCATTACAAATTAAACTAAGCGCAACTGATATTTAAGATTGAAAAACTTTCCTGATTTTTACATCATTTTGGGGTGTTTTCTTTTCTCGTTCAAATCCGTGAATTTGTTTTGCTCAGGCAAAAGTCAAAAAAAGAAAAAACTATATAAAATCCACTATTTTTATCAATAATGTTGAGTGTTATAATTATTCAACTTTTTAACAAGAAAAATCTCAAGTTGATGTTAAAAATTACCGCAAAACATTGCTTATTTATTCAATGATCTATTATGACATGTCTCTAATTGATATTTAGATACATTGTATTTATTTTCAATTTTTCTAGTTGAATTGTTCACCTATATTGCATATGATGCATTATCGTACATAATTAGGTTACAATAAATTTGTATTTTATATGAATACTACCTTATGAAAACTGAAATGTGATAGACTCGGAGTGTATCATAGAATCGGGGGTGGGGCACGAAACTCTTGCTGCAGCCCCGCATTTTGATCACTATCTTGATGGAAATTTACGTTATTTTAAAGAACTCGTCTTCTTCCTCTTCACTTGGTAAATATATCATATCACATTATATATATCATGTTTGCTTCAGCAAACTGTAGAAATAAAGAGCATACATCAATTTAAATATCTTAAAAGTGTTTTAACAGAGAATGGAAAGTGCGACACTGAAAATCAAAGATGCATTGGGATAACCAAATATGCCTTTCAAATGCTAAGCAAAGTATTATGAAACAAAAATTTAGTTAGAAACAATGAAAAAAGTACTGAACTCTTATGTAATATCAGTCCTCCTATATGGAGGACATTCTCACAGATGAAGAAGAAATTTGAAGCAACTGAAATGTAGTAGGATTACCATGGGAGTAAAATGTGAGCAATCAATACTTGGGAAACTCAGGCGGTGTTATTGATCATGGCTCGGAATTGTTAATCGGAGAGCCGAGTTCCAATTCCCGTTGGGTTCGTTATATTCACTTACACGCAATTACGCTCCTATACCATTATTATCTATAAAAAGCCATTAAATAAACAAAGAAATCAAGTATCGGTTAGATTGATTGCACACCATGAGAAAGCAATCTCCTCCTTATCAGTAAACACACAAAATCCTTATTTAGTAACCTTCTACCTTGAGTGACTCTTAGGTGAACAATATTAAAAAGCGCCTCTTCAGAGGTCTGAAACATATTTCAGTTGATAGTCTCAAAAGAGTAACTAAATCAAAAGCTGAGTGTCATCTACCATGTATTCAGTTGTGAAAGCAGAATAACATTTTTATTACTCCAAAACCCACAAGAAAATTAGATTTCGGCATTAAATGACCCATAAAAAGTTGATGTACCGTTAAATAAACAAATAAATCTAAGTACCGGTTAGATTGATTGCAAACCATGAGAAAGCACTCTCCTCCTTAGCGGTGAAGATATTTGCAAAATCTCCGATAATCATCAGGTAAAGGTTATTCTCCAAAATTTAGTGCTTTGATAAAAGTGAGAAAAATAAAAAATAAAATTACTTTTCAAAGGTTAATGATCATCATGGAAGTCATACTAAACTGACAAAAAGGAGAGTTAAATTTGACATGAGGAAGAGATAGCTGAAACTTCTGGGCCACATAAGAAAGAAAGCTTAGAAAATTGTGATACTCACATGACAGATTGAAGGTGAGAGGGCTAGAAGAAAGCAATACACAACCTACAAGGCGAGCTTGAATACATGGATGATGCAGTAGATTTTGGGAGAGATGGCGAAAAGACAAAATTTATCGAAAGCTATAAGAAGTTATGGAGAGCTATGATCGCCAACGCCACGGCACAGTGAAGAAGAATGCCTGTGACAATCTCTAGTCAATGAGCAGAGAACGCTAACACCAAACCACATTTGATAATATACCATAATGCAACACAAGTCTGTCTTTAAAGCACATTTTTTTCTTTTGGCTTACGGCCACATCAGGTCGAAACACCGATTCCCGTACGTTCATCGATGTTAAGCAACGTCGAGCCTGGTCAGTATCTAGATGGGTGATTGCTTAGGAAAATCAGGAACTGTAAGTTTGGATGTGCGGGTGTTGTTATCGGTAATGGTTCGGAATTGTTAATCAGAGTGCCGATTTCCAATTCCCGTTGGGTCCGTTACACGCAAATACGCTCCCCGCCCCAGCTATAGGTCAATTAGTAAGACTTGTATCGCTATAACATTATTATCGCAAAAAAAAAAAAAAGAAAAAGAAAAAAAAGATTCTCACAATCTAAAAATGTTTTCTGGGTCCAAATTGTTTTGAAGGTATCTGAAGTCGTCTGAAAGTAAGTTTCCTTCGACCCCACAATGGAATGCGTGCTCCTCTACGATGTTGAAAGCTGAACTTTAACAAGAGAGATATAGGTTTGGGAAAGGTATGGAGCTATGTCTTCCTCGTCTAGCTATGAGTTAATTAGTAAAACTTGTATCACTAAACCATTATTATCTCAAACAAAAAATTCTTATATTCTAGAATTTTTTCCTGATTTTAAATAACCTTCAAAAATGTGATAAACCGTAGAAGACGAATCAATCAATCTTTTTTTTCTCTTGTGAGAATTTAAAAAAAAATTCTTAATAAAAGATTCTTTCTCTCTTCCATTGTCGACGTCTATCACCTTCAAAATATTCAAAATACTTCCTTTAAAATGTTTTGAAATGTTGTAATAAAGCTTTATTTTAATCATTTACTTTATAAAGTTTGGTCGATTGCTGAGTAATTATTTACAGCAAGCACCTGATTTCCAAACTGCTTCATTTGAAAGAGCCTTAGATTAATGGGGTACTCCGATATCGTGTAATGGTTAGCAACTTTGTCTCGGTAGTTCCATTGCGACTGAGTAGTGAGTTCGGTCCTCACTGGGCGCTCCATACTTTAGGCTTTGTGCCACATCTAAGCTACGTGTTGACTAGTCCCCGTCCCCGTTCATTTCATAAGAAAGGTTCACTTAAACAGCTTCTTCCTCAAAACAGTTGCATTATAGAACGGATTACCGCGATGATTCTTCTCTCATCACTACAATTTTAACCTCTTCAAGTCGAGTGTCAACCGTAATCTATCCTACATATACTCATAATATACACCCCTCTACACCCTTAGAAAATCTTTTATTTAGTTACCTTCTAACTTGAGTAACACTTGGATGAACAATATTAAAAAAGAAAAGAAAAAGAAAACGCCTCTTCAGAGGTCTGAAACATATTTCAGTTGATAGCCTCAAAAGATAAACTAGATCAAAAGCTGAGTGTCATCTACCATGTATTCAGTTGTGAAAGCAGAATAACATATATTTTTATTACTCCAACGCTCACAAGAAAATTAAATTTCGGCATTAAATGACCCATAAAGAGATGATATGCCATTAAACAAACAAATAAATCAATCTAAGTATCGCTTAGATTGATTGCAAAGCATGAGAAAGCGCTCCTCCTTAGCGGTGAAGATACTTGCAAAATCTCCGATAATCATCAGGTAAAGGTTATTCTCCAAGGTTTACGTGCTTTGATAAAAGTGAGTCTTACAAAATAAAATTACTTTTCAAAGGTTAATGATCATCATGGAAGTCATTCTGAACTGGCAATGTGAAGGGAAAAAGCAAAAAGAAAAAAAACAACAATTTAGCTTGTTCTTTTCTTTCTCTTTAACACGCACACACGCATTCGCACACACAAGATTGTGTAGGTATGTAAAATTTTTTCCAGGCATTCGTTTGCACCCGAGTAAACAAAAAGTGTGATGACGGAGTAAAATAAATAAATAAATAAAATCATGAAATAAAATAATGGGAGGGGTCCGCAGCTATTTTGACCTTTTGCCGGTATGGCTTCATTTGACTTGGAATTGAGAAAATGGCGGGGAGTAGAAATGCTGCTGAATGTAAGAAATTCAGTCGATCGAATAAAAGATGCAAAATTAAAAAAAAAAAGGGGTGGAAAAAAGAGGAAAACGAACAGAGGCGAGAAAGTAAAAAGAAATCGGGATGAGTTACAAATGAGATATTTTTATTTTTGGGGGATATTTTTTTTTTTTTTTTTTTTTCAAGCGAAGAGGAGGAGCTTAAAGAATAGATAAAAAGAGAGAAAGAAAAACTAGATATGGATAGCGACGAGTGTTATAAAATGAAAGATGGCAACTGTTAATTAGACAGAGCAAAAACTGCAAAGTAGGAAAGGTTATGAAAGAAGAATTAAAGAAAAGAGAGAAAAACGAGAGTAGAGGAGGGAAATGTAAAGAAAAAAAAAGAAAAAAAAAAGAAAAAGAAGAGAAAAAGAAGAGATAAAACAATAGAAAGAGATAAAACAATAGAAAGAGATAAAAATCTGACGTGCGTTAAATTATGTTACAGTGGTCAGAAAGGGAACTTTAAGTTTTTTAGGCGTATAGGCTTGAGGCGGAAGATATGTGACAATCGCTTAAAAGAACAAAAACTTTAACAGAGAAAACACGGAAGAAAAAGAGTAGAGGGAATATTTAAAAAAAAAAAGATATAGAAAATAAAAGGTAAAGAAGATATGAAATTGGTTTTAAGTAAAAGACGTTAAAAGCAGGAAAGAGAAATAAAGCGTTATTGAGGCGAATCGTCTGATTGGACTATAAAGAAAGACGAGAGAGAGAGAGAGAGAGAGAGAGAGGTCGGAGGAGGAGGTAAAATTAAGCGTGAGAAATAAAGAGGGGAAGATAAAATATTGACAAGGTGGGAGTGCAATTGAGATTTAGAATATTAATTAGCGAAAATTTGAAAACAATAAAGAAATAGAAGAAACAAAGGTGATAGAGATTGCAGCGTACAAGATTAATAAATAAGAACAGAGAAAAGCGATATTGGAAGAAAGAGAAATGAGAGGAGGAGGATGGTGGAGTGAGTGAGAGATAAAGAGCTTTAAGATGTAGGAAAAGGTTGGGGAGAAGTGGCAGGCGGAGGTAAAGAAATTTTTGCTGAGGGTTTGTGGTCGGGTGGCAGGTCCGTCTCAGTCTAACCAGATGCTCAGAAATTGGCACTGGCTTCTAAAAACGGTAATCAAGTTTGTATTCCTCATATCGATTGTTGTTGTAATTTTGTGTTCACTGAGAATAAAAAAAAGTCTTTTAATTGGATTTTTGAACACTGAAGAAACCATTTTTTTATTTGTATCACCAGTTTCTTCAGATTTTTCGAATGAACAAATCAAGATAAATAAATAAATAAATTATTTTTAAAAAAAGCAATCAAAATACGTTGCCACTAACAATGACAATTTTTTTTTAATTCAAAGTTTTTTCATTTTAATTTTTTTTATTTTAAATTTTTTTTTTTTAAATTATTTTTCGCATTTTTTTCTTTCTTTATCCTTCTTACTTTCTCTCTTTTGTATAATTTTTTATTTACGTTTTTTTTTTCGTCCCATTTTCATTTTCCCTCTTTTTTCTCGCTATCTTTCTTCTTCACTTTTCGCCTCGCTATTTCTTTTATCTATCTTTCTCTTTTTTTTTTTTTTCACCTGGTCTGTTTATCATCGTTTTCTTCTTTGTTAACCTTTCATTTTTTTGTCTTTGATTCCATTCTTGCAAAGAGACAGGCGTGTTATTTTTTTCTTTCTTTATTTCATTTATTTACTCCCTCCATTCATTTTGTGTTGGAAAGCCAGTGCTGTCCTTTTCTCAGTTCTTCACGTTATTTATTCATTTATTTTGTAAGGTTATTCATTTGGTTTGTTCAGTATCATTAATGTCAATGTTAATGGTGCCGGGAATGCTGGTGGTTATAGCATCGTTGGGAAAGCTGGGTCGATAAGAAAGAAGACAGGATCAAAGAAGAAAAATAAAAAGCCGCTAAGTCACGAATTACTATTTGTATTTTTTTTTGTTGTTGTTGTTTTTTCTCCTTTTTTTATTATTATCATTATTTGTCTTATACAGATCAGTCGCCCGTATCGATCCTCTCGTCGACTTGCAGACCCTTCGAAAAATCACCACCCTTTTCATAGTTTCGCTATTCTTCCCCTTTTTACCCACTTTCAACATCTCTTTCCTCTATTCGGTTCTGCATTCTTCACTTTTCTTTGAGTATCGTGAACCTTGGCCAACAGAGAGGAGAAGAAAAAAGATGATGATATGTGAGAGAAAGAAAGAAAAAAATATAAAGAGTAATAATAAAATTAAATAAATCAACGAGATGGCTAAGAAACGAGGCTCTGAGAAGCTCTTTAAAATAACGTTAATCACGAAGCAAACAGCGAGAAAGTCCTTGGAGTGGTTGTCCAGGCTCGTCTGACCAAGAAAGACGCTGGGTTTGTGTTGCGTGTCATTATTTCTAAAAATAATTTTAAAAATAATAAGGCCATAAATCAGGTTAGTGAAAAAGCAATGATGCCGTTAATAATTATTTGCGCTTCGTGTTATAATTATTTTTCCCTTCTGGATAAATTTGTTACTACAATGTTTCACGCCTGCTGTGTCTTGTCATTCAAGGATTTTCATAACTCATTTCTTCAAATGGTAATAAAACCACATAAAACGCAATGTTTGTTCCTTAGTTAGCGCTTACGTTACGCTCTGCCAATATATAAATCATCGACTATTCTGTTTTTGATCACGAGAAAGGATGTAAAAGGAAAAGATATATCAGCGACACTGCTTGGTTTCCGTGAGAAGAAAGAAAAAGAAAGAACTTAAAGGAGGTGATAATGCTCTCACGTGTTTAACATCTGCTTCAGTGAAATGGTTTGGTTTGTTGTTTTTTTTTAACAGCATATCAACTCCTTATAGTCTTTTAATGCTGAAATTTAATTTTCTTGTGAGCTTTGGTAATTTTTTTTCCAAATTAGTATAAAAAATAGTGTAAAGCTGATAATTTTTTTCTAATGAATTTTTATATTTTCATATTTTGACCCCAATTTGGCTGTTCACTAATTGCCCATACCTGGGATCCTAACACGTGTTACCACCCTAGGACAGAGTGAACTTAGGAACAACAGCAATTAAAAGGTGGTTCCATGCTCCTCAAAACCTCCTGATCAAAGACCTTGATGCCGGATGTAGTTTATCGTCATACCG